AAATATCCGGGCTGTGAAACTTTCTAAATCCGACGTGTTGAGAAAAAGGTCCATGATTTGGGTAAAATTCGAGCCTATGAAGCACAAATTTACGCAAAAGAATGTGTAAATTGCGTACCAGTCAAATTTGTATCCGTCGTTACTTTCAGGCCATAGTCCTATCACTTTCAACATTTTTAAATTTGTCTGAAATGTAGATTTCCAGTCGAACATTTCCATTTTAGTTAAATCTAAACTAGTTTGTTTTACACACAAAAATATGTTTAGTCGACTAAAGTACACTTTTGACTGCAGCTTTGAAGCATTTTATTCCTTTTTAATACTGACACCTCATTACTAATAGATGTAATTTACCCTCGAGACTACTCTGAGACAAATTGCGTCGATTATGCTACCAAAGAAATACGCCGTAATGACTACCTTCGTTCGTCATAAAAATTTTAATTCCTCATTTCACGTATTTAAAAAACGCAAGTGGTTAAAAATTTAACGTTTTAATTTCAGCTGACGTTTCTCTTGGGCAGCAATTAAATGACAGGAGGCGCGAAGCTTACAATTAATAAATGAATAAAAAATTAATGAAGGGGTTTACTAGAAGAATTAGGGCAGTAGGTTAGCATTTTACCTAGATGGTTATTTAATTTAAAATTAATAGCATGTCGGGCGATGTTGTTTAATAGATACAGAGTGTTAACCGAAAAGACAAGTCGCCGTCGTTATTCTAGAGATTAGTTCATAATTAGTGGATTTTTAGGTGTGACAGAAATAATTAACAGAAATTATCTGCCTTGTCTGAATAAAATAATAAGGAAATTTTGTTTTAGTGCAACACAATTAATTTGACTTAAGATTTAAATTAAGTTCAAAATTTCTTCAATTTCACCTATGTCAAGAAAAAGCTTTAAAAATAGATAAAACTAGAATCGCTTCAGAAATAAAAATGTTGCCAATTTAAATACGAAGCAAACAAATTTAATTATATTTATCGCTTGTTATCAATGCTAAGTTCTTGATAATTCTACTGAGTGCCCCAGAAAAATACACGTGTACTATTGTTAAGGAAAAAACTTAGTATGTACAAATAAAATATAAAATATACAAAATGAATTTTGCTTGTAATTGTTTCCTAGGGCACTAGTATAGCAAATAAGCTTTTATTTTTGACTATTACCTGAATTGATGAACACACAGTTACATAGACACAAATTCCGGCGTTGAATAGCAATTTAGCGAAATAATTCTTTACCACTTTTTTAAACGAAAATAGATTAAAATTAAAATTTACAGTGACTGGTACATAGTTCTTTTCAGCTGAAACGATATCTTACTGACTGGTAGTGCAGCCAATAATTTTCACTTTTCAACGCTTGTTCAGTATTCATGCAACGAATTTATTCGCCACGGCATAAATTACAGCTTTTATAATACAAGAAATTTATGTGAGTATATTTTTAATAATAAGCACGTGTATCGAGTAATAACTTATTAATAACACAGTTTAAAACAGCATAAAGTGGGTTTTGTCGAAGCCGTGCAATCATACGTATTGGAAATTATACACAATTTGCGACAGAGTTAATTTGTGAGATTAAAAATTAATAAAGCAATGTTCTACCTAGTATTTTTTTGAACGGCAGTTCTTCGAAAATTATAAAATTAGATTTTGCGATGTTTGTTTTGTGGTAACTTCTACAAAGTAAAAACCAAATTGCACAAGTACGAACAACGTAAAATTCATTTAAAGCAGATAATCGACGAGAAAAAATGCCCTCTCAGCAATAATAACAAGCTTTAACTTCAAGTGTTTCTTCATACATCGGAAAAATGAAGAAATCGACAAATTTGTAGAAAATGCTGTCTATTCTAGTTCTAATTACTGAAACGGGCGTTCTCAAAAATTTACTGTTATATGCAAAACAACGACAAACATTTGATGCGACTTGATTCTCATCCTATATGTCCACTAGAAAATTCAAAATATGTTGAGAATTTTGAAAATGTTATAGATTTTTTTTTAATATCGAAGTTGTCAAAAAGTTTAGAAACTTGAAATGTTGCAAAAATGCGATAACCGGAAAATTTCAAAACCCGAAAACATCAAAATTGTAAAAAGTGCTAAAAATGTCTTGTAAATTGCTTAGGTAGAATGATCACTAGTCAAGCTAATTTTATTTTATTTTGTAATTCGATACGTTTCTACAATTTTTCGACTTATAGTTTTGAATACTGAGAAATGGAACAATTGGATGACTGAGAAATCGGAAAACTATACAATACTAAAATTAAAAGTCAAGAAATTTGAAAAACCGAAAAATTGCAAAATCGTAGAATTGAACAAAAGGAAAATTAAAAAATCAAAAGACTCAAGTTGAAAAACTGATCAAACGAAAAATTTAAAGACCTAGTAATTAAAATTGAGAAAATAATTCTATTTACAGGCTGTTTTATTAAAAAAAACTGGCATTCTATATATTAAAACGCAATTTTATATATTTTTAACCCTTCCATTGCAAGAATGTTTCAAAATAATTGGAATAACTTGGCAACGTCGAAATATATACGCCTTATAAACAAAAACATTCTGTATACTTCAAAATAATTTTAGTATGTATATGGTGCTCGAACAATAGTAAGTTATCACTAAATTTTATAAAATAACACACTCATGCATCTGGGGTTTATGAATCCATTTGAGTTTTCACCCTAGACATCCCGTGTTTTGGAAAAAAGTTCAAAATTGTATGACAATATTTCATTATCTCAAAATTATGTTCAATAAATCCTAATAAAAGTATTCAAAATATTACTGTATACTTGTGATTTATTTATATTATATTAAGACCCACCACTGACCCGGAAATGACCGGCATTCAGGCAAGACTTCTATCATTACGGATACTAAGACCAAGTAGTGATATGCATTGATTAGATTATTATTATTATTTATTAATGCATTCAATGTTTTTATAATTACGTATACACGGTGACTCAAAAAAACGAGACATTTAAAAAACAAAAAAAAATGAATCGAAAAATTGAAAAATGGAATAAATGAAAACATTTTAAAATCCACTAATTAAAAAATGGAAAAATTCCAAAATTGTAAAATTGAAAAAGTGAAAAATTAAAAAAATTATAATAATAATTAGACAGATACCTATTGAAAATAAAAACTAGAAAAATTGCAAATCGAAAGATTGAAAAATACAAAATCTGAGAATTTTTTATCGAAAAAAGGAAAATTGGAACCTTTACATTGAAAATCGAAAAATAGAGAAAATAAAAACCGAAAAGAAAAATTGCAAATCTAAAAATTAAAAATTGAAAACTCGAGAACCTTTAAAATCTAAAATTGAAAAATTAAAAAATTGGAAAATTGAAAAACTGGAAAATTCGTTTTTTATTTTCTTCAGTTTTTTTTTTAATACATTTCTCGACATATTTTCAATTAGAATATAAATATAAGTAAAAATCATAGATTTTATAATTATATAAGTCTTCTAGAAAATATATTTCAGCTGTCATTAAAGGCCATACGACTCGTATGTTTTTTTTTTTGCTTTTGATAGATGACATTGACAGCTATTTGACTATAAATACTAAAGACAAAAGATCACTCACTTTAATTTCAACTTCATTTCCAAACCAACAGTATAGAGAAAGTTGTACTGTGATCGCTGTTACGTAAACTAAATGAGAAACACTGGCACTACTCAAAGGATCAACCTTAACGAAGAAACAGTATTAACATAAAAAAATGTGAAAAATTCGGACTTACCAGAGTCAGTTGAAACATAGTCAAGGCAAGAACAACGGTACTAGTAAAAAATTGCCCCAGCACAATCATACTGAAAAATCTGTTACAAGTTTCGGCAAAACTAAAACTTCAGGTGCAGCAAAATAGAAAACCGGAAGTTCCATTAATCTTACATACCGTACCACTAGCCGGTGGTGTCTAACACAATCAATGATTGTTTGATTAAAACTAGATTCACTGTCAAGATTTCTCAAATTATCGCATAAAATATCACACTGAGCTCCAACACACATCATCAAAGCCGCGATCATCGTGTCCATATTTAAATTAGCCACAGTTAGATACCAAATTCCAACCACTTGGTACAGATACGTAATTTCGTAAAATGGAGAAATTTTAGTATTGTGGGGATACCAAGCGGCAAAAGGCAGCCGCTTTTCTTTGACAGAATTATCTAGAAATGGAAAAATCGACCACATGCTTACAGTCGAACCTGCCATGATCCAGAAGGTGACATACATAAATTTCCACGAACTTAGAGCAGGTCGAACCATAAAAATTTGGTTGGAATTTTTTGGTTGAAATATTTTGCTGTTCAACGTTGTCATTAGTTCTTTGAGCAGTCTGACGTTTCGTATGAAAAAATACACCTTCATGGAAGCTAAAACGTCTGTCACTGTGATGAAAATCGTGCCAGCTAGTGCTTCTAGGTTCTTGTATACGAAAAAAATATTTATGATTTGAAAAAAGTTGTGGCCACCCATTATCACAATCGTGGAAATTATTGCGTAGAGGGAGTACGTGTCTCGTTTATAAATTTCGTCACCTTTTGGCCACAATCCTACTAACTGTAGCATTAAAATATTTGTTTTAATTGTGTGTTTCCAGCTGAAATTTTCCATTTGCACTGATTTTGCGTGTTTCTATTTTTAATGTGAAGTCTTAACACAATTACACATACATATTTTAGCACCGTGTGGTAATTTTTTTATGGAAACAAATTAATTTACACGGACTGGTAAACGTTAGTATTCAGCTGATACTAACTTACTGACTGGCAGTTTTAATGGAATGAATTGATTCCTCATAGCAGAAATTATATATTTCCTAATAGTACAGCCAGATATGAGTACATTTTTTTATAATAAGCACTTATATCAAGTAATAACTACTGATCACAGAGTTTAGAACAGCATAAAATGGGTTTTTGTCGATTCCATAAAATGCAAGTAAATGCGTGACTTTATATAAAATTAATACAGTAATGGATATTGAAAGCTGCATAATTTGCAGCAGAGAGTGACTTTGTGAGATTAAAAATTAATGAGAAAATGTTCTGAACCACTGTATTTAGAAAAAAATCGAGCAATGGTAATTCATACCAAGATATTACACTCAGTGGTTACAAAAAAAAGCTTTTGGTATTACCTGCGACAGTACTACAGAACCCAGAAAACGTCAAAAATTCAAACATTGCCAAAATATTTTAAAACGAAAAATACATAAATAAAAATTACAAAAATAAAGTATCAGAAAGTTTAGAAATGCAAAAATGTAAAAGCAGTACAAGATATCGAAACATGAAAGACATCAATATTGTCAAAAATGTGTAAGACGCCTATAGTCTTGATTTCTAAGCCAGTTTTCTGTTGCAAAATATTTAGTAAGGCAAAATTTGTTAGAACATCTTACCTTAACTTCTACTTCATTTCCAAACCAACAGTACATAAAAAGCTGAGCGGTAAGAGCGTTCACGTAAGACAAATGAGTAAAACTCTTAGGACTTACAGGATCCACCTTTCCAAAAAATTACAAATTGGACGTACGAAAAGAAAAAAACACTCACCAAAGTCATTTGAAACATAGTAAACGCAAGGACTACCGTACTAGTGAAAAATTGACCCAGAACTATCATACTAAAAAACAAATATATTGTTGCAGCAAAAAATTACTTTTTTGAGAAAATTCCCTCAATTTGAAAATTCTTGTGATCATGTACCTCGACGAAACTTGGATGTACCAAAATGCTTCAATATCACATCGTCCTTAGGTGCACGAATCAGATTTAAAAAGTAATCCCAACAAAATTAAAAAAAATATAATTCTACACGCAAGTCAATTTTGGTTTTTAGAATGTTGTAACTTTTTATTAAACTGGAAGAAAACAATGGTAGAGATTATCACAAGACAATGGACGGGACACTTTTTCAAAATTGGGTGGTTAAACAACTTAGGTGAACAAAAAATATATGGTGGTTATGGACAACGCACCATATCATTCAGCGCAGTTGGACAACATTTTCTAGTAAAAAAAAGTCAAGTGCAGGAATGGCTGCTTAATCACATGTATGTAGTTGAATTTGAACTAAAATTAATAATCAATGTAACCCGATTGAAATGGCATGGGGGTTTTGTAAGAAGTACTAAAAGAAGCACATATATTTTCAAATTTCATCCAAGGATTAGGGTAAATCTATTCCAAACATGTGGCAAAATTTTTATGGACATTGTGAAGAACTTATTTTGGCAGACTGGAAAAAACTAGGAAAAATTTTTCGTATGAAGACATTCCTCCTTTCATTATTTTGCTAGGTGAATTTGATTCAGAGTCAGAATCAGAAGACGATGACGACTCAAATTGTTCTAGTGAAAAAATCGAAATGGAATAAAATACTGAACCGTAACTTGCCAGAGGATACTTTTTTTTAATTTCAGAAAGGACTATTTTATTATGTTGTATCATATTTTTGACCTGAGGTCGGTTATCTTTCGGATATTGTTCAAACAGCTGTAAAACATACAGTTTGCATTTTGTCTCTTGATGCATGTATTCCAAATTTTGAACACCATCAACTAGAACTAGAATGAAGAGTCCTGAAGCACAAGAAGCGTGCAGAAAAAGTGAAATTTAAGTTTAATTATAATGACTATGAATATTATTAACAGTTTTGATTTTATAAAAAAGGAAATTAAGTTTTGTCAAAAAATTGGTGGAGTTTAATAATGACCAAACTGGAAATGGAAAATTGGAAATGTCAAAAAGCAAACATTTTCAAAGATATTTTAAAACAAAATAAGATGTCAAACCTTCAAATATAGTAAGATTGTCAAAAATATTACATGATCCTCATTAAAATTAGTTTTGTTTTATATTTTACTAAGTTACATTTTGTTTAAACAGTCTTACCTTAATTTCTACTTCATTGCCAAACCAGCAGTACATAAAAAGTTGAGCGGTAAGAGCATTCACGTAAGACAAGTTGGTAAAACTCTCAGGACTCACAGGATCCACCTTTCCAAAAAATTACAAATTTGACACATAGAAAGGAAAAACACTCACCAAAGTCATTTGAAACATAGTAAACGCAAGAACTACTGTGCTAGTGAAAAACTGACCCAGAACTATCATACTAAAAAAATTATTGCAGTCGAGAGCAAATCTAAAAAGGAGAAATTTGACTTATTGAAAATGATTTTTGGATATAAGTAAATACCGCACAATTTTTCTGTGGTGTTTAATACACTGAATCATGTTTTCATTAAAATTGCTTCCAGAATGTAAACCTGATTTTACAGGAATCTTCATTGTTTGTAAATTATTACATAAAATATCACACTGAGCTCCAGTTAAAACCATCAAAGCTGCTATCATCGTGTCCATATTTATATTAGTCACTGTTAAGTACCACATACTGAGGACTTGATAGACGTACGTCAACTCATAGAACGGTGATTTTTTCGAATCGTAAGGATACCAAGCGGCGAAAGGCAATCGTCCTTTTTTGAATGACTTGTCCAAAATTGGAAATATCGTCCAAATAACCACGGTATAACTTGCCATGATTGTGAACGTAATGTACATAATTTTCCACGACTTTAAAGCCGGTTGTACAATATCCAGGTGTTTGGTATGTATCGGTTGGAAGGAATCACTCTTTAAAGTGCTCATAATTTTCCGGCGCAGTTCAACGTTTCTTATAAAAATATACATCTTGATAGAGGCAAGAACATCAGTGACTGTTACAAAAATTGAGTCTGCCAAAGCCTCTAGATCGTTGTAAACGAAGAAAATGTTCATTACCTGGAAAAAGTTGTGGCCGCCCATAATAATAATCGTAGTAAAAATTGTATATAAAGTGTATAAGTTGTATTTTTCGCTTTTCGACCATAGTCCAACTAGGTATAATATAATGATGTTAATTTTTATTGTCGATGTCCAACTGAAAATTTTCATTGTATTGCAAAACGATATACTCGATTTTTTTTTCAGAAGGTTAAAGCTAACGCGGTGACTGTTCAAAGCTCTTTGCGGTAACTAAAACCAGACAAAACTGAGTTGGAAGGATTATTTAATTACCCTAATTACTCTCGACCATTAATTATTAATTTGTAAGTCATTCACGGGAGATAGTTTTTTTAATTTTAAATGGAAATTCGAAGTTTCTAGACAAGTAAAACAATTTTCTAATTATTTTAATTGTAGGCTTTTCACCAGAAATTCAATCAACTGATATGGAAATAATTTTTCGGGGCAGAAAAATAATAATTGGTTATTTTACCTCAGTAAAAGTTGTAATTATAGGTTGAATAGAATTTATAATGAAATTGTTGAGGTGCTGACTATCGAGACCAGTGACTACATGCGTTACGATTACCTGTTCAATTTTTTTTAGAATGTTGATAATCTATTAAGTAATTTTTGTGCTAAAAGCTTTGTATTTTTTTTACTATTTGACCGCAAATATTAAAGAAAATGATCACTCACTTTCGATTCAACTTCATTTCCAAACCAACAATATAGAAAGAGCTGTATAGTGATGGATGTTACGTAACATAAATGGGAAAAACCGGCACCACTCAAAGGATCAACCTTTGCAAAGAACGAATATTAACATAAAGAAGAAAATTAAATCAGACTTACCAGAGTCAGTTGAAACATAGTCAAGGCAATAACAACAGTACTAGTAAAAAATTGCCCCAGAACAATCATGTTGAAAAATCTATTACAATTTTTGGCAAAACTGAAACTTCAGTTGCAGGAAACTAGAAAATTCTATTTATCTTACATACCATATCACTAGTCGGTGGTGTTTAATACACTCGATAATTTTTTGATTAACAGTACATTCAAGATCTAATTGCGTAAAACGACCAAGATTTCTTAAATTATCGCATAAAATCTCACACTGAGTTCCCACATGCATCATCAAACTAGTTATCATCATGTCCATATTGATAGCAGCCACAGAAATATAGGAAATTCCAACCATTTGGTACAGATACGTAATTTCGTAAAGTGGAGATATTTTGACATTGTACGGATACCAAGCGGCAAAAGGCAACCGTTTTGTTTTGACAGAATTATCAAGAAGTGGAAAAATCGCCCATATGCATACCGTCGCACCTCCCGTAATCCAGAAGGTAAAATACATAAATTTCCAGGAATTAAGAGCAGGTCGGACCATATCAATTTGATCCAAATTTTTTGGTTTGAATTCTGTGCTGTTCAAAGTTGTCATGAGCTCTTTGAGTAATCCGATATTTTGTATGAAAAAACACATTTTCATAGAAGCTAAAATGTCTGTTATAGTGATGAAAATCGTTCCAGTTAGAGTCTCTAGGTTGTTGTACACAAAGAAAATGTTCATGATTTGAAAAAAGTTGTGACCACCCACTATAACAATCGTCGAAATGACTGCGTACACTGAATACATGTCTCGTTTATAAATTTTGTCACCTTTGGGCCACAATCCCACTGATTTTAACATTAAAATATTTATTTTAATCGTTTGTTTCCATCTGAAATTTTCCATTTGGAATTATTTTCTTTGTTTTTATTTTCAATGAGTTATCTAAACTGAGCACTATGCGGTCAATTTTCAAAATGAAAGTAAATTAATTCACACTGACCGGTACACCGTAGTCTTCAGCTGAGACGTTTACTTACTGACTGGCAGCATAGTCAATAATTTTCTTTTTGCAACGGTTATTCAGTATTAATGGAATGAATTTATTCCTCACAGCATAAATTACATCCTTTTGTAAAGCTGCATACATACATGAATATTTTTTTTTTATAATAAGTAGTTGTATCAAGTAATAACGTACTAATCACAGAGTTTAAAAGAGTATAAAATGGGTCTTTGACCATTCCGTGAAATGCAAGTAAATGCGTGACTATACAAAATTAATGCAATAATAAATATTGAAAATTATTCGTAATTGGTAATAGAGAGTGAATTTGTGAGATTAAAAATGAATAACACAAGCTTTAGCTGTTATTCTGAACGGCTGCGTTTAGAAAAAAAAATGACGGGATAATTCATGCCAAGATGTTACACTGTTGGTCCTATAACTGTAACAGTATTATTTGAAGATATTGAGACTTAGATAGGTCAAATTAAATACAAATTAAGTTGTATAAATTATTAGGTATACAAAAATGTCCTAGGAGTATGCAGGGGCGGCTTGCTCTATGAGGCATATGAGGCAATGCCTCAGCAATGAATTTGCTCTGTATTATTATTTTTATTAATTCTGACCGATATATTTCTGAACAATAAAATGTTTTTTCTTTTTATATTTTGAGAAATAAATATGAAAAATTATTGTTTTTCTCATTTTGGAAGGTGAGCATTTGCTATCCCGATATTTGAACAATGCCCTCCATGTAGAGCCAGACTCGAACCTTATCTGTATAGTATATGCAAAAGTGATGAAACTTTTTGAGTATTCAACTTTTGGATTTTTCAATTTTTCGATTTTACTTTTTTCGTTCTTTCAGTTTTTCGAAAATTCCTTTTTTAATTTTTGCTTTCTCCAGTATTTTGATTTCAATTTTTAGAGTTTCCAGTTTAATTGTTCGATTTTTAAATTTTGCGTTACTTCATCTTTGGGATTTGCAATTTCTAGATCCAAGAATTTTTCTATTTTTGAATTTTTCGGTTTTTCAATTTCTCGTTTTCCAATTTTTTTGAAATTTCAAATTTAAAATGTTGTTTTTTCAATTTTTCAAATTTTCAGTTTTTCGATTTTTAATTCTTCGTTTTCTGAATTTTTTGATTTACGATTTTGTTTCCAGTTTTAAATTCTTGGATTTTTAGATTTTGCAACTTTTGAATTTTTCAATTATTCAGAATTTCGATTCTTCAACTTTTAACTTAACTGTTTCTAAATTTGTTACTTTTGGATTTTATTTTTTTTTTTTTAATTCAAGTAAAGAAAAATTAAAATATCTACTAATTGAAAAATCGAAAAATCCAGAAAACGAAAAATTGCGGATCTAAAAATTGGAAAAATTGAAAACTACAAAACTTGAAACCGAAAATCGACAAACTGTAAAATTAAATGATTCTAAATCGAAAAAGTTAAAAATCCAAGTAAGAACAAAATAGAAAAACTGAAAAGTTGATAAATTGAAAATTTTAAAAACTTAAAACAAATTCGAAAAATTGCAAATCAAAAAATTGTAGGAGTAATATCTAACAAAATTCCGAAAATCGAGAAATTATATAATCAGGAAATTAAAGAGCAATATAGAAATTTAAAAATCCAAAGTTGTGAAAATTTCAGTTGTATTAAATTCGTTTTTTGTTCATAATTTATAAATTAGAATCTGGCAAAACGAAACAATAAAAAATTGAAAACTAGGAAAACTACAAATAGAAAAAATGAAGACATGAAAAATTGGAAAATCGATTCAAAATTAAAGTTTCCACAAATTGAAAAATTGAGGAAGTGCAAAATTGAAATATCTAAAAATTGCAAATCAAAAATCAGGGAGACCGAAAAATAAAAAATTTGAAAAACAAAAAATTTAAAAAAAATGTGAAATTAAAAAACTAAAAACTGAAAACCATAAGACCTGAAATCGGAAAATTGCAAAATTGAAAAAACAAAAATCTCTGTATGGAAATTTTGAAAATCTAAAAATTAAAAATCGAGAAACTGGAAAATCCAAAAAGGTATAAACGAAAAATTAAAGCATCTAGAAATTTATAAATGGAGCTGTTGTAAATTAAGTTATTCAAAAAATCAAATGTTGATAAAACAAAAATTTTATAAAGAAAACTCAAAAAATTGCAATTCGACACTTTAAAAAATTGCAAAATACAAATTGAATAACTGAGAAGTCATAAAAGGAAAAATCGAATAATTTTTAAAAATCAACACGATATAAATAAACGTGGCGGAAGCAACAACATTCGAATGACACCGATGTGCGTTGTTGCCATTGTTGAATTTAATGCATGCCCTCAATTAAAAATCATAAAGTTAAAAAATTAAAGAAATATATAAAAACTGAAAAACTAAAAACAACAAAATCGTAAAACTGAAAAAACGACAAATTGAAAAATCTAATGTTAAAAGTTCAAAAAATTGTAAAATTGAAAATGTAAAAATAAAAACTAAAAAAATTAGACCCTGAATTTGCCAAACTAAAAATTAAGAAACTAACATTGTAGGTAAGTTCGTTTACAAGATATTCTCAGAGCTAGGAATCATCTTTAACAAAATTTATAGAAATTTATAGAAAACTTGATAATGATATTTTACCGTCGAAATAAAACGAATGATAAACAACAGAAATTGAAACAAATCTTTTCCAAAATTCTTGATATTATAATAATTAATCAAATAAAAATTGATTTTCTGGCATGGAAAAATTACACATTACATGTTTTTTGACTTGCTTAATGTTTCTAAAAGTTAATTTTTTGGGGATTTATTTGTGTAATTTTATCAGTAAAATTCTTTTCGTAAACAAATCGAAAAAAAACTGGTCGAAGGTTATTTCTCAACAGAACTTCCCTCCCCTCGAATCTCGAAGTATAATCCGACAAATCCGGCTTTTTTAAAATATATATAAAATTAGTTTTTACAATAACTAACGGGAAAAATGTCCTCTCAACACTAATAACAAGCTTAAGTCAATTGTATATGTTCATACATTGAAAGAATGTTGCATATAAATTAATTTGATTTGAATGCGTTTGTGTTCTCAAAACAGAGGATTAAAATTATTAAATAAGGCACAATCGAACAACATGTTCTGAATATTACAATTCTTATTATATCATTATTAAATAAATACGTGATACCCCAGCCGCAACTGCGGGAACGGTTATATCCTTAGTGGTAAAACGCTATTATAATGTGTTAATTGTTTTTGGAAAATTTGGACGTTTAGAAAAAAATTAAAGATAGATTCACCATAAGCATAAGAGTATATTTTGTATAACAATTAAATTATTTTAAACTAGAATTCTTTGAAATGGCGTCTTCAAATTGTTGGTGGGAATGGTTAACTATTCACATGATATTCCTAATATACACATAAAATTTGACAACAATCGGTTCAGTAGTTTCAGAGATTACGTGTTTAATAAAAATCAACACAGACGCCAGACAGACGGAAACGGCAGATCACTTTTTCGTACTCTAGGTGTCATGAAGTGTCGAGAAATCATGAACCTGGCAAGTCGCCCGATGGACTCGATTACTATATGAAGTTTTTAAAATTCTCATAAAACGAAAAATAGTTAAAGTGTCGGTAGTTACAAAAAATGTTAGGGTGACAGAAAGTTTAAAAATTTGAAATGATACAGAAGAGTAAAGATCTCCAAAAAAATATATTAAATTACTAAAAATGTGTAAGATGTATTGTCGCTTTGATTTATTTTCAAAGTAATTTCCTGTCCTGTTTTAATAAGTCACAACTTTTATTACAACAGTCTTACCTTAGTTTCGATTTCATTTCCAAACCAGCAGTACATAAAAAGTTGAGCGGTCAGAGCATTCATGTAAGACAAATTAGTAAAACTCTCAGGACTCACGGCATCCAGCTTTCCAAAAAATTACAAATTTGAATCAGAAAAGAAAAAATACTCACCAAAGTCATTTGAAACATAGCAAACGCAAGAACTGCAGTACTGGTAAAAAACTGACATAGAACTATCATACTAAAAAAATTATTGCAGTTAGCAGCAAATCTAAAAACCAGAAACTTGACTTATCGAAAATAACTTTTTGGTAACAAATACCGCACAATATCTCGATGATGTTTAACATATTGTATCATGTTTTCATTAAAATCGCTTCCACTTTGCAATGTGTGCAAATTATTGCATAAAATATCGCACTGCGCTCCAGTTAAAACCATCAAAGCTGCTATCATTGTCTCCATATTTAAATTCGCCACTGTTAAACACCATATACCAAGGACTTGATACACATACGTCAACTCATAAAACGGTGACTTTCTGGAGTCGTATGGATACCAAGCCGCAAAGGGCAAACGACCTCCCTTAAATGAGTCATTCAAAAGTGGAAGTACCGTCCAAATTACCATGGTATAACTAGCCATAATGGAGAATGTGATGTAAATCACTTTCCAGGATTTTAAAGCAGGCTGAACCATTTGTATTTGTGTCGAGTTTCTGGGTTGGAAGGTAACATTCGTTAGGTTTCTCATCAATTTCTTACGTAGTTTGACGTTTCGTATAAAGAAATACATCTTCATGGAAGCAAGAACGTCAGTCACCACGACAAAAATTGTTTCTGTTAAGGCTTCTAGATTATTGTAAACGAAGAAAATGTTCATTGCTTGGAAAAAGTTGTGGCCGCCCATCACAATAATTGTGGTAAAAAATGTATGCAAGGTGTATAGATCATATTTGTCACTTTCAGACCACAACCCAACTAGGTATAACATCACGATATTAATTTTTATGGTCGATGTCCAGTCGAAGATTGTCATTCTCGTCTGAATGAAGTTGTTGCTTGTTTGAAACTACCGCACCGAGTGTTGATTCTAGCACATTTTTTCTTTTAAAGTGTCTTTTATTATTAATGAAATTCGGAATGGCACTTGTAGAAAATTACAACTTTCGTTTCATAAAAAAACATAGATGCAGTAATATGCATTTGCGACTAATAAATAATCAGACACGTAATTACGGGTTTTATGGAAAGCACGGTTAAATTGTTGTAAAAGCTTCTCTTGGGAATAATTAATTGCAGTTAGAATTTTAATATTGCATGTGAGTTGTGTTTTTCAGTGTGAACCAGATTAAATAAATCGTTCTTAAAAATAACGTGACCAATTAGTTTTAGTTTAAATTATAAATCAAATAGCTTTTGATATGACGTGAATGTTTTCAAAGTAAAAATGATTTGTTTACTTGAAAACGTAAATGCTTAACTGGTGTTTTTTCTATACTTGATTTAAATATTGTACTGATTATTTAGGAGCTGCTGAAATTTAATTACATACAAATTTTCACGATTTACTAGCAGATTATATGGACATATATTAACAGTAAAATCTCAATTGATAAAATTTTAGGCAATATTAAAATATTTCTTTAAAACGAAACAAAATCCAACGTATATTTAGTCAAAAATCGTTTGAACACTGCTTCTATATTTTTCTATTTTGTCTGAGGGCCACAGAGTACGTATATTTTTGTATGAATAATAAAATAAAGTGTCTTTAATGTACATGCCATGCTGTTTATAAATATAAACAAAAATTTCTCACCTTAATTTCAACTTTATTTCCGAACCAAAAATGAAGTTTTGTCAGAAAACAACTTGTTGCATTAAAAAAAAAATGAATAAAGTGGAACTGGTAAAATTGTGGAAAATTCCAAAAATATTGGAAGCACCAAAAATACAAAAATTTTAGACAACGATAAATAAAAATAGTAGTTCAGGACTTGAAATGATGCAAAGTAATAAAAACAATGTAAGATGACAGAGCGTCAAAACATCAAGATCCAAGACATTATAACTGGCTCTATAATCAATTTCCCAGTGGTTCGAATGTGATGGTTGGTTGACCATTTCCGAATCACTCTTTAACGCGTTGAAAATTTTCTTACGTAATCCCATTTCTTATAAAAAATTGTAAACGAAGAAAATATTCATCAACTGGAAAAGTTATGATCGTTGTACAAAAAATTGTATACAGTTTTATCTATTTCTTTTTAAAATTTAAAAATTATGTAATGTGTTTAATTATTAATAAAATTATAAAATATTAAAAACAACATTATTAATATTTTCAAAATTGACGAAAAAATTTAGATTGAGATTAATTATTACCTATTTGTTTTTAATCCTAGTATTTAAAAGACTTTTAAATCCTAGGATTAAAAGTGAATGTTGCCTTAGCAGCGCAAGTTTTTTTTCCTAATTACAAAAACGTCTACTTTTAGTGTTGAAATTATCATTAAAATTGTCATGTTTTAAGACGCCTGGAGAAAAAAAAAATTAGCGAAGTTGTTACAAGGAATACTGTTATTACCGTTAAAAATCTACGGTAAAACTTGAAAAAGATTCTGAAGTAGGATGCGATAAACAGCAGAAAAATGAAAATTTAGATATTAGAAAATTCAAGAAAAAAATCGAACGAAATTTAAAGATGTAAAAAATTCATTTTAACACTAACTCATGTACCAACTTTTGTGTTGTGTGCTTGCAATGCGATTTTTATTTATTACAATTTGGTTATAGTGGATTTTGCCTTTAATAATATTCACAATTTCGTTGTCTGTATATTTTATTACACAATATTTAAAAATCTACTTCAATTTCTACTATAGTTTTTTAACGGTAGTACCCATAAATAGTAGTATGCAACTATATTTACACGAAGCAGGTGTTCCGAAATTTTCAGTAAAAAGAAATTTCTTATTACTGAGAATTTTGAAATTGATCTACCACAAACTAGTAGTTAATAAAATGAAATTATTTTTGAAAAATAAAGATAGCCAATAGTAAATTCTTTTCTTTCAATTAAGTATGTTTGAAATCTAACCGTGCGTCAAACAATGCGTAGATACCACATATCTCAGTTAAAATGTTGCATTCGAGTAATGCTCGAATTTAAAATCTTTAATAATAAATAAATAACTTGATTGTTGAAAATTTCAATACATATGAAGTCATAAAACCAAAAACGCAATTTTAGAATTATGAAAATTCAAGAAATAAATCGATATACTTAATATGAAACTTTAATATACAAAAATCGAAAATTGTATGAAAAATTGTATAAAATTCATTTATTAACTTCTTCAAAAATCAGTAGATAACTGACAACAACTGTTATCTCAAAGTGAAACGAAAATTAGACAGCTAAAAAGGCCTTGATTTTCTACATTATTTTGTTTCAAAGTTTAGTTATTTGCAAACTGTTTTAAATGTGTCAACTCAAAATTTTGATGGTGCATTTGTGGATTTTTTTGCACATTCACTGCACATTACTCAATATTAAATCTTGCTAGTATTGAGTTATTTAGAACGATGTTTCATTTTTTTAATTTTTGAATTTTTTCCCGATTATTCTCAATGATAATATAAATATAGCCAAAAATACTAAAGAAGAAGAATTGTATTTCAAATATTCCTGTGAGATGAAAGAAATGTATTATCTAAGTTATAAGTATTGTAAGAAATGAAATAAAATATTAATGTGTATAAAAGTAATTTTTCTTGCATATTTTGCATACATGTTTTTTTTGATATAACTCCGAGCTTTATATCAAAAAAGAAACATCCCAAAATCTAATTTTATAATTTTTCAAAAAGCGAGATCTGTTGAACTTGTATTTCAGGAGCGAGGGACGGTCTGTCGAAATAAACTTCGACACTTTAAACTCGTTGCGGTTAAAAATGACTAAACTGAAAATGGAAAATTGGAATCGTCAAAAATGCGAACATTTTCAAAAATATCATAAAACAATAAAATGTTTACATATCAATAACTTAAAAAAAATAGAGGTGTTAAAAGTTCTCCAAAAAAAAATTAAAAACAAAATAAGATGTCAAACTTTGAAAGATCAACACAAAAACGTTCAGCAATAAAATTATTTTTGTCTTATTTTTTAATTAATTACATTTTGTCTGAACAGTCTTACCTTGACTTCTACTTCATTTCCAAACCAGCAGTACATAAAAAGCTGAGCGGTAAGAGCATTCACGTAAGACAAATGAGTAAAACTTTCAGTACTCACAGGATCCACCTTTCCAAAAAATTACAAATTTGACTCATATAAATAAAAAACACTCACCAAAGTCATTTGAAACATAGTAACCGCAAGAACAACCGTACTAGTAAAAAACTGACCTAGCACTATCATACTAAAAAATTTATTGCAGTCGACAGCAAATCTAAAAAAGAGAAATTTGACTTATTGAAAATAATTTTTACCTATAAATACCGCACAATTTCTCGATGATGTTTAATACATTTTATCAGATTTTCATTAAAGCTGGTTTCAGAAAGGAAACCCGATCTTCTAGAAATGTTCACTGTTTGTAAATTGTTACATAAAATATCACACTGGGCTCCAATTAAAACCATCAAAGCTGCCATCAATGTGTCCATATTTATAGTAACCAATGTTAGATACCACATACCCAGAACTTGATAAACATAAGTCAACTCATAAAACGGCGATTTTTTCGAATCGTATGGATACCAGGCAGCAAAAGGCAAATTTCTTTCTTTAAATGACTTATCCAAAAATGGAAACGTCGTCCAAATTAGCACGGTATAACTCGTCATAACTGAGAATGTGATATACATCCGTTTCCACGTTTTTAAAGCAGGCTGAACTATATGTATTTGTTTTAAATTTTTTGGTTGGAAGGTAGCATTCGTTAAAGTTCTAATAAGTTTCTTGCGAAGTTCTACGTTTCGTATGAAAAAGTAGACCTTAATCCAAGCAAGAATATCAGTCACAGTTATAAAAATGGATTCTGTTAAGGCTTCTAAATTGTCGTACACGAAGAAAATGTTCATTGCTTGGAAAAAGTTGTGGCCACCCATAACAACAATTGTGGTAAAAACTGTATACAAGGTGTATAGACCATATTTATCACTTTTAGACCACAATCCAATTAGGTATAACATCACAATATTAATTTTAATAGTCGATGTCCAGACGAAGGTTGCCATTCTCGTTTGAATTTTGAACAATCAAATTTAATATGATCTTTCATTAATTTTGAACTAGTTTTGTTGAAAATGAAGTTGTTGCTTATTCGAAACTACCGCACTGAGTGTTGATTGTAGCATAATTTTCTCTTTTAAAGTGTTTTTATTATTAATGGAATTCTGAATGGCAATTGTAGGAAATTACAACTTTCGTTTCATAAAAAAAACATAGAAACGGTAATATGCATTTGTGACTAATAATCAGAAATATATGTAATTACGGGTTTTACGGAAAGCACGGTTAAATTATTGCAACTTTAACGTTGCATGTGAGTTGGTCTTTCCCAGATTAAATAAATCGTTATTAAAAATACGGTGCAGTAATGAAGTTCAAGTTTATATTACAAATGAAACAGTTTCCTCGATGAGGTGGACAATATAATCTCGAATGCTTTCTTAAAAACATAAATAGTCAGCTGGTGTTTTTTCTATACTCGATTTAAATATTTTGCTACTTATTTAGAAGCTGCGTGAAATTTAATTCCATACAAATTTGCATGATTGACCAATAGATACGTGGACATTTATTGATAGTACAGTAAAATTCGCTTCCTAAACCAATAGAGAAAATTGCACAAATACTGTCTATCTTCATCAAATGTGGTGCCTCTACTTACTGATATTTAATAACATTCTTAAAAAAAAATACTGTTATATGAAAAATAACTACCCGAGTTAGGTGTGAATTGATTGAGCTTTTGTTTTATAATACAGAAAATATTTTTATAAATGCATATGGAAAGTCTGCATGGCGAAGCTGGAAACCTTGAAATTATGATGTATTACATTATTTCAAAAATTTTGAAAATTAAAAAAAATTGGTCCAAGGTTACTTCGACACAACTTCCTTCGCTCTTGAAGTGCGGTCCAACAAATTCCGCTTTTTCGAAAATTTATAAAGAGATTATAACAAATTTTTGTTTTCTGATAATCTTTATATATGTATTAAAGACCAATGGTCTAAAACGACTAAAGTAAAACCTTGAAATTACCACATCATTTCAAAAATGTCGAAAACGTCAAAAATGAAAACATTTCCAGAATTACCGCAACACAAAACATTTTTCAACTATCAATACCTACAAAAAATAGAGGTATCAGAAAATTTAGAAGCTTCTAATGGTGGAAAAAAGTAAAAACAACTAACTAGGTATGAAAGCGAAGCGTTTTTTCATGAGTTTGAATTTCGATTCGTGACGGTGTCGCCAGAGTGAATCAATCAAATGAGTGAAATAAGGCAGCTTTCATAACGTGCTGCCCACGAGGTTTTTACAAATATTCATCCAATTAATTTTCCAACAACACTTCAAAAATTACTGGCTAATGGCGTTTGAAAATTTCGTTGATATGAAGGTAGTAAGTGTTGTGCTTCAAGGAGATGATTATATATTTTTTTTGTGTGTCAAAAAAATTTTGTGCAAAAGTCGAAAACCAGTTTAAAACGCTTGAAACCGAGAACTGGAAGAAATGGAAAACATTAATCTACTAGAACAACAAGTGGAAGCGACAATGAAGGAATTAGTACCTGAAAAGTCTCGAGAAGATATGCTAAAGAATTTTCCTGGTTCAAACTTTGGAAGGTAAGAATTTGGTCAACGTTTTTTGTTCTAAAATTTATTTTCATTCATAATTCCATTACATTATAAAAAAGGAAATAAATTTAAATAGTTAAAAAATGGGCTACTTTTTTAACAATTTATCGTTAAAAAGTTTTTCATTATCAATTTGCGAAAAATAAAATCACCAAAAATATGTAATATCGTTATCATTTTCAACATAGTTTTCACTTGTAGAATACTTAAACAAAATGATCAGCACTCAAATTAATTTTGTCGTATTTTTTCTTGGAACAATCTTACCTTAATTTCTACTTCATTCCCAAACCAGCAGTACATAAAGAGTTGAGCGGTCAGAGCATTCACGTAAGACAGATTAGTAAAACTCTCAGGACTCACAGGATCCACCTTTCCAAAAAATTACAAATTTGACTCATAAAGAGGACAAACACTCACCAAAGTCATTTGAAACATAGTAAACGCAAGAACAACAGTACTAGTAAAAAACTGGCCTAAAACTATCATATTTAGAAACTTATTGCAGTCGAGGGCAAATCTAAAAAGGAGAAACTTGACCCACTAAAAATAATTTTTGGGCATAAATACCGTATAATTTCTTGATGGTGGGTAATATATTTGATCATGTTTTCATTAAAATTGCCTCTAGGATGTAAATCTGACCTTATTGTTTGTAAATTATTGCACAAAATATCACACTGGGCTCCAATTAAAACCATCAAAGCTGCTATCAATGTGTCCATGTTTATAGTAGCCACTGCTAAATACCACACACCCAGAACTTGATAAACATACGTCAATTCATAAAACGGCGATTTTTTCGAATCGTATGGATACCAGGCCGCAAAAGGCAAACTTCTTTCTTTAAATGAGCTATTCAAAAATGGAAATATCGTCCAAATTAGCACAGTATAACTGGTCATAACTGAAAACGTGATATACATCAGTTTCCACGACTTTAAAGCGGGCTGAACCATGTATATTTGTTTCGAATTTCTTGGTTGGAAGGTAGCATTCGATAAGGTTTCTACAAGTTTCTTGCGCAATTGTACGTTTCGTATGAAAAAATAGATCTTAATCGAAGCAAGGATATCAGTTACGGTTATAAAAATGGAATCTGTTAAGGCTTCTAAATTGTCATACACGAAGAAAATGTTCATTGCTTGGAAAAAGTTGTGGCCACCCATAACAACAATTGTGGTAAAAACTGTATACAAGGTGTATAGACCGTATTTATCAATTTTTGGACCACAATCCAACTAGGTATAACATCACAATATTAATTTTTATAGTCGATGACCAGTGGAAGATTGCCATTTTCGTCTGAATTTCGAGCAATTATTTTTAATATGATCTGTTGTTAATTTTGGGTTAGTTTTAGTAAAAATGAAGTTGTCACTTATTCGAAACTACCGCACCGAGTGTTGATTGTAGCATAATTTTCTCTTTTAAAGTGTTTTTTATTATTAATGAAATTCTGAATGGCAATTGTAGAAAATTACAACTTTCGTTTCATAAAAAAATCATAGCTGCAGTAATATCCATTTGTGACTAATAATCAGAACCGTAATTACGGGTTTTATGGAAAAGCACGGTTAAATTGTTGAAAAGGGTCTCTTCAGAATAATTATTTGCAGTTACAACTTTAACGATGCATGTGAGTTGGTCTTTCAGCGATTAATTATTTCATAGTTTTGAAGATAAGGTGTACAATATAAAATTGGATGGATTTCGATGCAAAAATGATTTGTTTGTTGTCTTAAAGACATAAATAGCCAGCTGATGTTTCTTCTGTACTGGATTGAAATATTTTGGTAGTTATTTACGAGTTGTGTGAAATTTAATTGCATGAAAATTTTCACGATTAATGGATTATATGGACATTTATTGATAGTAAAATCTAAGTGTGTAGATAAAACCTTAAGCCATATTAAGACATGTCTATGAAACGTTTTTTGAACAAAAATTAGAATTAATAAATATAGTTAAAAATTGCTTAAACAGTGCTTGTATATTTTCTATCTAGTCGAAAGACCACATAAGACATATATTTTTTTTTGTGGACGATTAAATCAACTGTAATATATACCCAATACAAGGTCGGTAATTTTCACTTTGAGAAAATGATCTGAAAAAAAAAATTTTTTTGGAATAATTTTTTTGTGCAATCTTATCAGTATAATTCGCTTCGTAAACAAATTGAAGAAATTGCAAAGTCTAGCTTTATCAAAATATGGTGCTTTTAATAATAATTATTGATATGTAATCATATTTTAAAAAAAATTTACCACGCATTTAAAAAATGTTGAATTAGTCAAAAATGAAAACATTTCAAAAGTTACCATAACACAACAGTTTTCAAAAATCAATACTTAAAAAAATAGAGGAGAAAATTTAGAAGCTGCTAATGATGGAAAAAAGTAAAAACAATATCAAACCGTTTAAGATTATAATAGTTGTATGTGGAACTAGTTATCAAAACGACGCGGTTTTTCATGAGGTTGAAGTTCGATTCGTGATGGTGTAGCTAATCAATCAAACTAGTGAAATAACGCAGCTTTCATAACGTGTTACACACGAGGTTTTTACAAATATTCATCTAATTAAATTCCCAATGACATTTCAAAAATTACTGTTGTTAAATTAACAGTTTGTATTTTGAATAAGATTCCAAAATTTCGTTGACATGAAAGTAGTAAGGAGATAAACGTTTGATCACATTTTTCTTGATAATGAAAGTGGAAAACCAGTATAAAACGCGGGAAACCGAGAATTGAAAAAAATTGAAAATATTAATCCCACCAGAAATGGAAGCGACAATAAAGGAATTAAAATCCGAAAAGTCTCAGGAAGATTTGCTAAAGAACTTTCCTTGTTTAAATTTTGCAATGTAAGAGTTTGGTCGGCGTGTTTTGTCCCAATTTTAATTTCATTCATAATTCCATTATCTTGTAAAAAAAAGAAATAAATTTAAATAGTCAAAAAATGGACTAGTTTATCATTATCAATATGCGAAAAATAAAATCGCCAAAAATGTGTAAGAACGTTTTCATTTTCAAAATAGATTTCTGTAGTAGAATACTTAGACAGTCTAATTAATTTTTTCGCATTTAGTCTTACCTTAATTTCTACTTCATTTCCAAACCAACAGTACATAAAAAGCTGAGCGGTAAGAGCATTCACGTAGGACAAATTAGTAAAACTCTCAGGACTCACAGGATCCACCTTTCC